ACTTGAGCTGTTTCCAGATTTTAGTTATTGCTAATTGTGCTGCTATGAACATAGAGGTGCATACATTCTTTCTGATGGGTGCTTTGGGTTTCTTAGGATATATATCTAGAAGTGGGATTCCTGGGTAAAATGGCAGTTCCATATTTAATTTTTTCAGAAAAATCCATACTGTTTTCCATAATGGCTACATCAGTCTGCATTCCCATCAGCAGTGTACTAGGGTTACCTTTTCTTCACATTTTAAAAAATATATTTTAATGATTTTTTACAGAGAGCCAGAAATATTGATGAGAGAGAAATACAGATAAGCTGCCACCTGCACATTCCCCACTAGTTATGTGCCCACAACCAAGGTACATGCTCTTGACTGAAATAGAACCTGGGATCCTTGAGTCTACAGGATAAGCTCTATCCACTGAGACAAACCTGCTAGAGCTTTCTCCACATTTTGACTGCACTTTTCATTTTTAATTTGTTAATGGTAGCCATTCTGATAGATATGAGGTGATACCTCATTGTAATTTTAATTTGCATCTCTCTGATGGTCAGTGACTTTGAGCGTTTTTTCATATGTCTCTTGGCCACATATATATATATATCCACTTTGGAGAAGTGTCTGTTTAGGCCCTTCGCCCATTTTTTAATTGGATTGTTTTTCTTCCTTTTGTTAAGTTGTATGAGTTTGTTATATATTTTGGATATTAACCTTTTATCAGATGTATTATTGCCAAACATGCTTTCCCATACAGTGGGTCCTATTTCTTTTTCTTCTTCTTTGTGTCTTTTGCCTTAGGAAATGTATCCATAAACATATTTCTATAAGAGATATCTTGAGATTTTGTTGCTTATGATTTCTTCTAGGATTTTTATGGTTTCCCGACTTATGTTTAAGTCTTTTACCCATTTTGAGTTTATTCTTGTATATGGTGTAAGTTGGTGGTCCTCCTCCTCCTCCTCCTCCTCCTCCTCCTCCTCCTCCTCCTCCTCCTCCTCCTCCTCCTCCTCCTCCTCCTTCTTCTTCTTCTTCTTCTTCTTCTTCTTCTTCTTCTTCTCGTCTGTCAGTCCAATCTTCCCAACACCATTTACTACTGAAGAGACTTTCTTGACTCCATTGTATGCTCTTGACTCCTTTGTCAAGTATTAATTGAGCATAATGGCTTGGGTTGATTTCTGGGTTCTCTGTTCTGTTCCATTGGTCTAAATGCCTGTTCTTGTGCCAGTACCAGGCTGTTTTGATTAGGTGGCTTTGTAGTATAACTTGAAATCTGGTATTATGATTCTTCCAACTTTGTTCTTTCTCAAGATTGCTGTAGCTATTTGGGGTCTTCTTTGGTTGCATACAAATTTTTGGAACATTTGTTCTAGATCTGTGAAATATGCTGTTGGTATTTTAATAGGGATCTTATTGAATCTGTAGATTACCTTGGGTAGTATGGACATTTAATTATGTTGATTCTACCAATCTATGAACACGGTACATTCTTCCATTTGTTTATATATTCTTCTATCTCTTTTTTTTCAACATTGTATAGTGTTCCGAGGACATTTCTTTGCCATCTTTGTGAAGTTTATTCCTGGGTATCTTAATTTTTTTGTTGCCATTGTAAAGTTAGATTGTTTAGTTTTTCTTTTTACGAGGTCATTATCAGGGTACAAAAAAGCCATTGATTTTTGTGTGTTGAGGAAACTTTGGCAAATTCATTTTTAAATCTAGTATTTTAATTTTTTTGGTGGAGTCTTTAGGGTTTTCTATGTATAACATCATGTCATCTGCGAATAATGAGAGTTTTGCTTCCTCCTTTCCAATTTGGACACTTTTTATTTCTTCTTATCTTATCGCTGTGGCTAGGAATTCCAGTATGATGTTGAATAAGAGTTGTGAAAGTTGATGTCCTTGTCTTGTTTCTGTTCTTAGGGGAAATGGTTTTAGTTTTTGCCCACTGAGTATGATTTTCACTGTAGCTTTGTTATATATGGCCTTTATCATGTTGAAATATGCTCCCTGTATTCCCACTTTGCTGAGAGTTTTTATAAAAAATGGGTGTTGGGCAGAAACCGGTTTGGCTCAATGGATAGAGTGTTGGCTTGGGGACTGAAGAGTCCCGGGTTCGATTCCAGTCAAGGGCACGTACCTTGATTGCGGGCATATCCCCAGTAGTGGGTGTGCAAGAGGCAGCTGATCGATGACTCTCCCTCATGGATGTTTCTGACTCTGTATCTCTCTCCCTTCCTCTCTGTACAAAATCAATAAAATATATATTTTTAAAAAATGGGTGTTGGAGCCCAAGCAGGTTTGCTTGGGTGGATGGAGAGTTAGCCTGCAGACTGAAGAGCACATGTCCAGATTGTGGGCTGGATCCCCAGTAGTGGGCGTGCAGGAGGCAGCCATTCAATGATTCTCTGTCATTGGTGTTTCTATCTCTCTTCCTCTCCATTCCTTTCTCTGAAATATATATATTTTAAAATATATTTTAAAAATATATATTTTTTAAAAATGGGTGTTGGATTTTGTTGAATGCTTTTTCTGCTTCTATTGATGTGATCATGTGATTTTTGTCTTTCAGTTTGTTTATTTGATGTATTATGTTTATTGATTTGCAAATATGTACTAACCTTGCATACCTGGAATAAATTCCACTTGGTTGTTATGTATTATCTTTTTAATATATTGCTGGATCCGATTTGCTAATATTTTATAATGAGGATTTTAGCATATGTGTTCATCAAGGATATTGCCCTGTAATTTTCTTTCTTTGTAGTGTCTTTATCTGGTTTTGGAATTAGGATAATGCTGGCTTCATAAAAAAGAGCTTGGAAGTGTTTCTTTCTCTTGAATTTTTTGAATCATTTGAGGAGAATAGGTGATAGTTTTTCAATGTTTTGTAAAACTCCCCTGTGAAACCATCTAGTCCCCAGCTTTTGTTTGTTGGGAGTTTTTTTTTTATTACTGCTTCAAATTCACCAGTATTTATCACCCTATTCAGGATTTCTGATTCTTTCTGATTCAGTTTTGGGAGATTGTATTTTTGTAAGAATTTGTCCATTTCATGCACATTGTCCAGCTCGTTGTTCATAGTATTTTCTTCCAATCCTTTGTATTTCTGTGGTGTTAGTGGTTACTTCTCCCCTTCATTTCTGATTATTTTTTTTATTTGGGTCCCCTCTATTTCTTAATGAATCTGGCTAATGGTTCATCAATTTTGTTTATCCTTTGAAAAAGGATCATTTTCGAATCACAGTGGAATTAAGTTAAAAATTAACTACAGTAAAAACACCCCAAAGCATTCAAACACATGGGGGCTAAATAGCATGTTATTAAACAATGAATGGGTTACCAACAAGATCAAGATAAAAATAAACTTCCTGTAAACAAATGAAAATGAACACACAACAACCTGAAATCTCTGGGACACAGCAAAAGCAGTCTTCAGAGGGACGCTCATAATACTACAGGCCTATGTCAACAAATAAGAGAAATAAACAATAAACTATTTCATCCTACAACTTAAAGAACTAGGAAGAGAACAATAAGATAAGCCCATTGTAAGTGTAAGGAAGGAAATAATAAAGATTAGAGTAGTAATAAATGGCATAGAGACTAAATAGACAAGGCAAAAAAAAAAAAAAAAAAATCAATAAAACCAAGAGCTGGGTTTTTCAAACTAAGGGCTGGGAAGTTTGGTGTACTGTTGGGACCTCTTGTTCCTCATGTGAATGGCCTTTGCAGAGATGATTTCCCTCCGATTAAAAAGAAGCACATATGGGTGTGAGATCAGCCTGTTTTGCGCCTCCACTCCTCCTACCAATGTGCTTTCTTCTGTACTTCTCTAATTGTAGGACTTCCATTCAGCCTGGCACCATCTTGGTTCTGGGGAACCACTTCTTTAAACTGAAGGTTCATGTATTATTCATCTGGCAGGCTCAAGGATGGCCTCCATTGCCCTCTTCTGGCTAAACTATAGACTTACTTCAGGTTTCCAGAGCAAGAGGAAAGTACAAATTATGGATTGGAAGGAAATACTTGTCTGAAACCAAACCAGCCTAAAAGCAGCGATCATAATAATTGTTTATTGCTTTAGAGGATTCACAAGAATTATTTGATCTTTGCAACAATCCTGCGAAATAGGCAACACTGGCATTTTCATTTTACAAATGAGGAAAACAAGCCTATTGTCAGGACAGTAATGAGATACTTCCTGGCAGAGGGGGCTTGTTAAAAGTAGGATTTATTCACAATCCATTTGGAAAAAGTACAGATTTTTTTTCATGAAGACCAAAGATAAGGGAGTGCAGAAGAGGATGATGTACAGATGATTCATATGTAAGGGAGCTACTTAATTTCAACAGCCTGGGAAAAATGGTTGGATCCTTTCTCCAGCTGTGCTATGTGGGCTAACCCTTAGTCCTAGGTACCCAACATCTCAATTTCCTATTTCAATAGTCAGACTTGAATGTTCATAAAAATATCTAGGGAGCTTGTTACAGGTGAAGGTCATTGAATCCTACCTCCAAGTCCTGTTTCAGTAGGTTCAGAGGAGGACCTGGGGATTTGCTTTTTAAGACATACCCTCTGCCTTTTGGACTTGGGAACTCCTAGTACATGCAAAATGCTCTCTTAGCACACCACCAGCAGCAAAGAATTATTATTTGCCTGGGATGATATTTCCTTCTAGCCCCTTTCTGCTTCCCTCACTCATAAATCCCACTAGGTTATGATAATTAAGATTCAATCCTCAACTCTTGATGTACACTCTCCAAACCCCAGTTTTCTTGTCTATAAAATGAAATAATACCTACCTTACTGGGCTTGAGTGAGGATTAGATGAGAAAATATGTCCTATATATAGTTCCTGTAAAAAGTGTGCAATAAACACGAGTTCATGGATCTTGCCTTCTTATTCCTAGCTCCTCAAAAAAGTATAGTGGCTAAGCTGGCATGTTATGGATTTCCACAGGTTTTTAAGGAATGGTCTTGAGCAGGACCAGGGATAATCAAGGTGATGTCTTCCCCCAGACTCATTCCCCTATGGAAGGATTTTAAATACCTCATAAGTGACATACTTAAAAGCAAGGTAATGTATATGTAGTAAATAAATGTTATTGGCTTCTATCTTAATAGTTATGATCACTTCTGAGGGGCATAGATCCGTGGAAGCAGGTAGAAGAGACCATAAAGACAATTGTCACCTTAGGAGGAAGTGGACCATCAATTTCCAAATGAGTCTAGGGACCTTTTGAAAAGACACTTTTTAAAAGTCCTCACCTGAAAGGGAGAGAGAGAGAGAAAGTGATGTGAGAGAGAAACATCAATCGGTTGCCTTGTGTATGCACTCCAACTGGGGATCAAAATTGCAACCTAGTATGTGCTCTGTTGCTGTTAATCCTCCCCAAAGGTATTTTTTTCCATTGACTTTTTAGAAAGAATGGAAGGGAGGAAGGAAGGGAGAGAGAGAAACCTTGATGTGAAAGAGACACATTAATTGGTTGCCTCCTTCACATACACTGAACAGGGCCCTGAATCCAACCCCTCAGTGCATGGGACAACACTAACAACTGAGCCACACCAGCCAGAGCTTGCAAAGACATTTTGATAGTGGAAGGTAAACACTTTGGAGATTTGTCAAAGGAACTAGCCTTCTGGGAAAAGATTTTTCTAAAAAAGAAAGGAGCCCTAACTGTTTTGGCTCAATGGTTGAGGTACATACTCATGGACTGAAGGGTCTCGGGTTTGATTCTGGTAAAAGGCACATACAATTCAGTTCAATTTAGTTCAGGACATGTGGGAAGCAACCAATAGATGTGTCTCTCTCATATCAATGTTTCTTTCTCTCCCCCTTCCTAAAAGTCAATGGAAAAAGTATCCTTGGGTAAGGATTAACAACAAAATAATAATCCTATATAATAAAAGGATAATATGCAAATTGATCAAATAGTGAAACTATCAGTTGCTAAGATGTGCACTGACTGACCATCAGGGAGCAGACACTCAATGCAGGAGCTATCCACCAGTGGTCAGTGCACTACCACAGCAAGAGCAGCACTCAGCCACAAGCTCTGAGCTGGGCTCATAGCTGAAAAGCACAGCGGCAGTCGAGGGAGCTTCTTTTATCTCCATGGCAGTTGGATATCCCCTGAGGGCTCCCGGATTGCAAGAGGGTACAGGCTGGGCTGAGGGACTCCCCAACAAGTGCACAAATTTCATGCACTGGGACTCTAGTAATAAATAAAGAGAAAAGAGAAGGTTCTAGAGAAAATATTTGCTAAACTCAGTTTTGCTAAAGTTGGCTCTGTGTTTAAGGATCCCAATTTCATGTTGAATAGCACATGCTCTGTCACTGTGGGATAATATATTTTGTATATATCATCATCCTGTCAAATTTAAAGGCCAGGTAGGGGTCCTATAAATTTTATTTAGTGCACTTCTAAGCCTCAATAACTTAAAGCTGCACTGCCTTTTGGGACACCATTACATTGTATGTGAGTATATGGCAGTGCTCTTTCCTAATTAATGTGTTAAATGTTCCTTTCATGGCATATGTACCTTTTAGACAGAAGGGAGAATGTTAGAGGATAGGTATAGTTAACTTCATATTGAGAAAAACATCAGTTTTCCCTGTGCTCACATTATAAAATTTACCCATATAGGCCCTATAGAGGTTTGGTTCTCTCATGTTGGGGATTTTGTTACATGCTTGTTAAGTGTAGGTGTTCACGAGTGATATGTTGTGCATGTGTGAGTGTAACACAAGTGATCTTTGAGGGTGTAGCATGACTTTTGGAACTGCTTCAATTGTAGTTTGAGTGAGAATATATTTAGTGCATTTGTATCCTGCTCTCTTACTTTATTCCATGCCTCTATCCAGCAAAATTTAGATGACTCAAAGAATGATGTAGTTGTGCTGAGTGACCGGCCTGAGATAGTATTCAAAGAATCTCGCCATCCTCAGAATATGCCACTTATATGCTATTACTTCAGTGATGCCGACTTCTTTGCCTCTCTCTCATGGGTGAAAAGCACAAAAGAAATACAGGTAAAACTGCCTACTCTTTTTTCTTTTTAGCCCATCCTACAGGGGCCTTCCCCATATAAGCCCTCACCCAGTGACCTAGAGAGCATGTGATATTGTGCTCCTAGATATATGTCCTCATTATGGTTTAAATAAACTCTTATTTATTTATTTATTTTTTTAAAGTGACTTGGATCCAGGAAATCTCCCTCATATTTTCTCAAATTACAGTTTTCACATTAAATAGATTTTATAGTTTCCTTAAAGTAAGTCAAGGTCAAGGAAAGAATCCTATGCTTCCTGCTTCTACAACCACCATAACCAGGGGGTAAAATTACTTTAGAACCCTCTAATTTCTCCTTGGTATGAGAATAGGGGAAAACAGCTGAATATTCTGCCCTTTCCTCTTCTACTATAATTTCTAGGCACTTTCCATCTTATTCTCTTTTAGGCTGTAGTTTGGGTGAAGAGCAAAACTGAGGATGCGGTTGAGAAGAGAACATTCTCCATGACTGGACGATTGCAGCCCATCCAGTGTATGGTACACACAGGTCCCTTTCATATCCTTGTGGCCTACTGTGGTGACTTGCTTCTGCGGCTCTTCGGGGACCACTTTCGGTCATTCAAACCCCTGGGTATAGTACCCTGCCGCTTTAACATCAACTGCCTCTGCTATGATCCAGAAATGAAGATGCTTCTGTCAGGTATCCTGGGGGCAGTGGTCACCTGGACCATTGAACAAAGTGGAAGGGGCCTCCAAATCATGCACACGGTTTCCATGCCTGGTGATGAACTTGTCCAGGACATCATATTGAATGGCCCCAATGGCTCCCTTCTAGCCTTGTGTGAGACTGTGGTGAGGGTCCTTGAGCGTCAAGGCCAGAGTGAGCTAGTAGAAGTGAAGAGGTTCACTTCTACCACTAGTGGCTCATCTATCACCTGCTGCTTCACCTGTTTTGATCAGGGCTTTCTCTATGCTGGAAACAGGACTGGGTACATCCAGGTATGGAGCCTCAGTCAGAGCTTCTCTTTCCACAGTTTCAAGGCCCATTCCTCATCAGTGATATGTATCTGCAGCCGGCCAGAAGCCCACACTCTGCTAACAGCTGGTAAGGAAGGTTTCATTAAGGAGTGGAACCTTACTTCTGGGAATCTGCTTCGGCAACTAGAACTTGGTGAGGAATTGTATCGACTCCAATTTATTGATAACATTACTTTCTTCTGCCAAACTGCCCATACTTTCTCCTTGCGCCGTCTGCCCTGCTTCTATAGCCTCTTCAATGTTTGTGGCTCTGCTCCAGAGCAGGTTCGTCGGGTCCGCTGTGGTAATAACTGGTTCCGGATCTTATGCACTACTGAGGATGGCTTATTACGCTTTGTGTCCCCAATAACAGGGGATCTTCTGGTTCTCACCTGGCCCTTCTCAATCCTAGACCAGGCTGTGGATTGGGCCTATGACCCAGATAAAGAGGAGCTCTTTGTAGCAACAGGGGGCTCAGACGTGCTGGTCTTTGACACAACCCGCTGCCCTTGCCCAGCCAAGTATCTTCTATGCACCTCACCAAATTCTCAGGACTCAGTACAATGTATGGCTTATGGGCATTTCCACCTGGGTCGGGGTCTAGAAGGACTAATATTTTCTGGATACCAGAGTGGTATGATAAGAGTCCTTTCCCAGCACAGCTGTGCCCGAATAGAGAAATTCATGCACTTTGGAGCTGTATTGGCCCTTTCTACACTGCCTGGAGGGCTTTTAGGTGGCCGAGAAAACTCTTTGCTTTGTTCTTATGGAATGGATGACTATATACACCTATCTGAAGCTGTGCTTAATGGGACCAGAGTACATCTGCGTCCTCTAGCTAGCATTCTCAGCAGCTGTCACCTAAAACACCTGATACTCTTGCCAAAGTCTGTGGGTGCTATCACAGAAACTAACTGCCTGCGTCTCTGGAAATTCCATGATTTTCTGCCCTCTGAGACACAGGCAAAGTTTATAGAGACGTTGCCTCTGCATCAGTGTGCAGTTACATCCTTTGATGTATGCCTGACCTTGAGTCTTTTTGTCACAGGTAGCATTGATGGCTCTGTCCGAATATGGAACTTTCACGGTAGACTTGTAGCCATGCTGGACTCATCATTGCATTTTGGTCCACTCTGCTTTGCAAATGACCGGGGTGACCTGCTTTTGACTTTCAACCAGAGTCTTTATCTGGTATCCTGTTTAAAACTACTTCCTCCAACCCTGTTGGTTCGCCTTTCCTTTATGAGCATCACAGATGATGTGCTAGAAATCCCTAAGCCTTTCATACCAAGCTTCTTCTTCTCCTTTGAGACCATGTTTGTGCCCAAATATATCTACCTTGGACAAAGGCAACAAGTATTAGTGGGTCTGGAGAAACTTGTCAATAAGCGGGCCATTGCCTTTGACCATACTGTGCCACATGTCATAGAAGATGATGAGCAAGGAAGCTCCATATTACTGTCTTCCCCAAGACCTGGTTCCTTGAATAAGGAGGACACTAATATACACTTGAGGAAACCTTATTCCCATTATGTGGTTCCTCCTCAACTACAGTTGACTTCCTGGGATGGACTTAACCCTTATCAGATACTGAAATGCTACTTTGGTTATGGACGGAAATGGCCCTTTGCTCCTGATTGCTATATCCCTAACTCAGTGATTCGTGCCCGTCTTTGGCCAGAGGGCAGCCCAATATACCTACAGTGCAACCTGCATTCACCCATACGGAAATTGGAATGGGACAAGTCTCAACAATTCTTCTGGCACAGTAAGGTAAGACCTATACATGATGTAAAAGAACAACCGCAAGAAAAGGAAGATGAAGACTTCATAAAAAGGAGAATGTCTAAGGATACAACTTATAGTGTCCTTACAGACCCAACAAACCGTAGTTGGCTGGGAAAAAAGATGAATGAAGTAGCTATTAATAGCTTGATTGAGACAATTCTAAACATTATGATTTATGCTCCTCCTCCATTGAAGTACCAATACTGTGTTAGTGCACTAGGGCAAATCTTTGCTTCTTACCAAGTGTCTCCACCCCTGCGCTCTGAAACAGCCCATCGTCTGCTGGATGATACAACCAATTCTAATCCACTGATCCGAGAGCTAGCCTGGGAAGGGCTGAATCGTCTAGGAATTATCACTCATCTCTTTGCCATGGCTCTGGCCCAAGGGTTAATGGACAAGGACCAAAGAGTGAGGAATAAGGCACTGAACCTCATGGCTGACACTGGAATTCACTCTAAGACTTCACTCTTAAACTTGATCCAGAATCGAGATACTTTCCAGGGGATGCAGTAAGTTCTTTATGCCTTCCTCAATTCTTTATTAGTTTCTAATTTTCTTCTCTCCCTTTCCAGTTTTCCCCTTATATTCCCTCACCATCTCTTCATCCCTGTTCTTTGACTTTTCCTGTTCTTTTTCCTTGTTCACAATCTTTACCCATTCCTAACTATTTTGACAACCCTCTGATTCTTCAGTCCATTTTCCATTTCTTCTAATCCTGCAGCCTCCATATAGATCACTTCATTAATTGACATTTATCTTCCTAGACATTTCCTTTCTTCTTGACCATCTTTAACTTTACATAACACCATCTCTGCTGTCCACTTTGCTAACCCCCCTGCTTGTTCCACATTAATTCTTTTTCATTTTCTTTTGCCCCTAATTCAGCATGCTCCTTCTCTTTTAACTTTCACAGGCAGGAAATGATTGGTGAAGAAAGCCTGGACAATCTGCTAGGGATGCGTGCCACTGATCTCCAAATTCTTCATACTCAAGTGGAGCAGCGATTAAATGAAAACCTGACCTTGTCACATGGAGATGAAAAGCCTTCTTTTTCTTTAGATGTCTCAAGGAGTCCTAAAACAATAACCATTCTCAATGAAACTGATGTAATTCCGGATGAATTTGCAGTTGTCATCAAGCCCAGCAAAGGCCATAGACGGGGCCGGGCAGGGGGAAGAAAGCATAGTATGTACAGCATTTTCTGGCGTATTAGACGACCCCCCTTAATTTTACATTTAAAACATAGGTTTAGGCCTATATTCGCTGTATAAGACTACCCCCCACTTCCGAGGCAACACCATTTCTTTTTTTAATAGGCTGCCTCTGACTCTGGCCAATCTGAACAGGCTTTTTTTTCATTTCAAAAGTCATCTTATACGCTGGAAAATACGGTATCCAGTTCATGCTTCAGAGTCCCCAGAGGCAATGTAGTTTAGGGTTAAAGTGGGTCAAGAGGTATCAGATAGGACTAGAGATAAGTGAAAAGATCTTTTCACAGAGAACCTTGCTTAAAAGAATCCACCCAAACTCAGGAATACTCCAAGGCCTGGGTAGGAACACTGGCATCAGCCCCCTCTATTGCTATTTCTTTGTATTCCTCCTAGCTCATACTAGATATCAGAAAATATTTTATTTAAGCCTCCCATACTTTCTTATCTATATCTTCTGATTTTCTCTGCAGCCCATAAGAAGTTGAAAGAGACTGGCACAGAGCCAAGTCCCTTAGAAGGTGAAAGTGATCAGAGTAAAGTTGCACCAATTGAGATGGAGGATACAGCCATCTCTTCGGGTTCTCCAATCTATAGTTTACTAAAAATTTCTAAAGATGCTGAACAACAGCCTCCAGAGAAAGATATCTCAAAGGATATTGCAATGACCTTGCGGATGCTCAGGAAAATACAAGACAAAAAAGGTAAGAAAACAGCTCAGAAACACATAAAGAGGCACAAAAAAAAGACAAAGCAAGACGAAGTTATAATTGAGGAACCTCTGTCTGAAGTAAAGGAAGAACCATTTGTGAAGAAGGTGCAAGACACAAAGCGGGGTGCCTTTGGAGCTCCTGGACGCAGGTCTACCGCTGGAGATGGCTCATCCTGGCGAGATGATTTATGTCGTCTTATGACCCTGAGGATATCTGGTTCCCAAACAACAATGTTAGAATCTCTAAACACTGAGTTAGTAACCATGGCTCAGAAGGTGCTGGCAGATAAACGCCCTAGCTGGGAGCTCTTTGAGAAGATCTGTCCCCTGCTGAAGAAAGAAAGTGAAGTTCTGCTTGAGGACCTTGACTGGGATGTAGCTTGGCCAGAGGAGAAACCAATAATTATTCATGAAGAAGCAATTAGAGAGGACATGGTGAGCAGAGAAACTAAAGAAATACTAGAGGGGCAGGATCAAGTACAAAAGGAATCAAGGGATATACAGGAATTACAGGAAATCCAGGTGATTCCCAAAAAGGGGAAGAAAAAGAAAGTTATTTTTTTAGAACCAGGTGACCTAACCAAGGGGAAACTAATGCTGAAACAAGAAGATAAGAAATCCTCTAAGAAACCCTCTGTGCAAAAGAGGAAAGTAGTCCAGAAGGAAATAAAAGTGGAGAAAAAAGAGGAGAAAATGACCACAGGAGAGAGGGATATGAGTCTGGAAGAGGAAGAAATGGCCAAAGTAGAGGAAAAAGTGGTTGAGCAAGAAGTAAGACCAGTTACAGATGAGAAGAAGCTGTCTTTGCAAGATTGGAGAAAATCCTGGGATGAGTGGAAACAGGCTCATGGTGATACAAGGATATCCTGGGATAAATGGGAGAAAGCTTGGGAAAGGGAGACTCTTGAGGAAGAGGAGAAACTACAAGAGGACAAAGATGAGGAAAAGCTGGCTGGAGAAAAGAGGAGGCTGGGATGGGATGAGGGGGTACATGTCTGGGAAACTATGTCAGACAGGTCCAGGGAGTTCAAGGATGAAGAGGAATTGACCCTGGATAAAGAATTGTCTCAGGAGTGGGAAAAAGAAGCAAAAAAGGGAGAAGAAGAAGAAGAAGAAGAAGAAGAAGAAGAAGAAGAAGAAGAAGAAGAAGAAGAAGAAGAAGAAGAGGAGGAGGAGGAAGAGGAGGAGGAGGAGGAGGAAGAGGAGGAGGAGGAGGAGGAGGAGGAGGAGGAGGAAGAGCTGTTGATAGAAGAGCAGAGACAGATCCGGGAAGAATATAAACAGGCTAAGGTTGAGAGGAAACGAATCCGAGCTGAAAGAAAACAAGCCAAAGAAGAGAGGAAGCTGGCACAAGAAGAAGAGAAGCTGGCACAAGAAGAGGGAAAATTAGCTCAGGAAGAGAGGAAACTGGCCAGAGATCACAGGAAACTGATTCAGAGAGACAGAAAAATGGCCCAGGCAGAGAGGAAGTTTGTCCAGAAAGAGGAAAAACTGGCCCAAAGATCAGTGTGGCTAAGCCAGGGAGCAGAGAAATTGGCCCAGAATAGGACAAAACTGGCAAAAAAAATGGAGAAACTGGCTGACAAAGAAGAGAAAATAGCAAAGAAAAGAAGGAAACTAGCTGATGTTAAAACTCTATTGGTCCCGAAAATGGAGGAAGTGGTCCAGAAGGAGCAAGATATGGAATGGCAGGAAAAGGAACTAGCCCAAGAATTGGAGGAGTTGACATGGGAAGAGGAGGAACTGGCTTGGAAAGAAGAGCAACTGAATCAGGAAGAGGAGGAATTAGTTAAGGAAGAAGAGAGACTGGCTCAGGAGGAGAAGACACTGGCCTGGAAAGAGGATAATCTGGCTATGGAAAATAAAAATGTGGTCCAGGAAGAAGAGCTGCTGATCCAGGAAGAGAATAAACTGGCTGAGGAGAAAGAATTTCTGCCTGAGGAAGAAGAAGGGCTTGCCCAGAAAAGGGAGCAGTTGATGGAGAATAAGGAAAAACTGGCCCAGGAAAAGGAAATTTTGATCCAGGACAAAGTGGAACTTGCAAACAAGAAGAAAATACTAGTCCAGAGGAGGAAGACTGTGGATCTGGATCAGAAGAAGAAACTGGATCAGGAGAAGGTAGAATTGATTAATAGGAAAAAGAACTGGCACCAGCTTAAAGAAAATCTTTCCCAGAACAAAAATAAACTACTACAAGCAAAGGAGAAACTGAACACGTACAAAGAAAAATTATTTCAGGTAGAGAAGACATTGGTGAAAGAAAAGGAGGAAATTTTCCAGAAGAAGGAGGAACTGGCTGATGTAGAGAAAAAACTGGCACAAGTAGAACAAAACCTGGCTGAGAAACAGCATAACCTGGCCCAGGACAAAATGAAATTCACTGTGGAGAAGAAGGCAGAACTTCAAAAACTGAACCTGTTTAGTAAAGAAGATGATAATACTAAGAAAAAAAAAACATTGGACATGGAAATGAAGAAACTAGCCCAGGAGAAGGTGAGACTGGCTGAAGAAAAGGAAACTCTCTCAAAGGGAGAGATTCAAGAAACGTCAACACAGAGGAAACTGAATGAGAATGAATTAGAACTACTTAAAAGGAAATTGTCACTAGAGGAGAAGATACTGTCATATGAAGATAGGATATTGGCCACAAAACAAAGTGACATTGCCAAAGAAAACTTAGATTTTGCCAGAGAAGAAAGAGTTTATGCCCAGGAAGAAAGGAAGCTAACCAAAGTAATAACGAAGCTGACTAAAGAAAAGATTTCTAATAAACTATTTAAAATTAGCAAAACAATCTTAAATATATTTAAAAACCTTATAAAAAAAGAGAGGATACTAACCCAGGAAAAAACACAGATGACACAGATAACAAGGTCATTCTTGGAGCAGGAAAGTATTTTGAGCAAAGAACAAAAAGAACTTGATGCTAGAAAGTTGGATATTTCTGAGGAACAACCAGAGATGACCAAAGATGAGGAGAAACTGGCTAGGAAACAGAGAAAACTGGCTAAGGAAATGAGAAGAATGATAAAGAAAGAGCAAAAAATAACTGAGGAGGAAACCAGATTGTCCAGGCAACAGAGACATTTCATGAAGGGAGAAGAGGAGTTGGGACCAACAGAGGAAGAAGAAGAAATGATAATTCTTAAACAAAAGCAAAGTAAGAAAAAAGCACTAAAGAGAGTTAAAATGCCACGGGAAAAATTTCCCAGTAAGGGGGATGAGGTAGAAAGTAAAGAGAGCTTTTCTGAAAAAGTGGAAAGTCTGTTAGATGAAATAGAGCGAGAGAGTTTGTCGGAGGAGGAGGAGAAGGAAGAAGTTAAGGAAAGGGAGGAGGAAGAAGAAGTGGAAGAAGAGGAGGCAAAAGAAGAGGAGAAAGAGGAAGAGGTGAAGGAAGAGAAGAAGACGGAGGATAAAAAGGTGGTGGAAGAAGAGGAGGAAGAGAAGAAGGCGGCAACAGTGGCAGTAGTGGAGGAGAAGGAAGAAGTGTTTGAGAAGGATGAAAGCATGATTAAGGAAGATCTAGAAAGTTTGAGTGATAAAGAAGAGGAGGAAGAGGCACGAAGTTCATTGGAAGAAGACATAGACAAGGAAAAAGAAATATTTAAAAAAGAAAAATTACTTAAGTCACAAGAAAAAAGAGAAAAGGATCTAGAAAGAAGAGAAATAGTCCTTTCTATTATAAAAAGAACCCCTGAGGTCAAAGGCAGGGATATAAATCTGAAAATTCCAAAGATCCCTTCCAAGAAACTGATCTCAATAGCTCTGGAGAGGGAAAAGACTATACCAGTGCCAGTGTCTAAGAAACAAATATCCTGGATAGATAAGGCTGCAGTATTGAAGACACCCAGAATATTCCCAGAGACAAATTTTATGGATAAGCAACGCGAGCTATTGAAGAAATATCAACCCATTCCTCTACAAGTTTTGGAATCCCAAGAGCCAGATTTCAAGACCCCATATTTATCCCACATATTGAGGAAGAGCAAAAAAGAACAGAAACTCAAAGGCAAACCACTAGGGGATAGGTGGCAGTGGCTTTTGAAACGTCATCCACCTCTGATGGGACAAACTAAGGTGCCCCAAATCCCAGGTAAGGAAAAATTTGCAGATGTAAGCCTCTCAGATGCAGAGTGGGTCCGCCATGTCCTAGAACAGATAGAGGCAGGAAAACAGCTTTCCAGAGATAGTTTCCACAGATTGTGTCAGCTTGTCAAAGACCTTATCTCAAAGGGAACCTTAGAGTGGATGCATCTAGCCAAACTTGAAACTATCATTTACCGTCACAGGCAGGTTCTGGAGTCACAAAGCACATGTATCTCAAAACCCAGTAAGAAGATCATGGGTCCTAAATACTTGGAAGTGATCCCTCCTATAAAAAGAAAGAAAAAGTTAAGCCATCTAAAACCTTTGGCTTTTTCTTCATTAGCTAACAAAAGGATTCCAGAGGCTATAAATTGGCAACTTCTAGCAGAGCCTTATAGGAGTAAATGGGTAAAACAGATATTCAGTGCCCTTAAGGAGATGGAGAGGCAACATGTTTATCCTGCTACAAGAGACATTGTCACAGGTGCCCATGCCTCTGTAGAAAAACAAATGCTAGCACTGATGTTTCAAAAGGACTTAGGGGCTTTTAAGGATAAAGGCAGGCTTCCCAAATTTCCCAAGATGGAGAAGACAACACAGCCTAGCTCTAAAAAACAGGAAGAAGTGCCTCTATGGGATACATTTGTGGCACTCTACCATGTTTTACGGATGTTGCAGGAGCAATATGGAGAAGACCGTGCTGCTTGGACAGAACAGTTCTACCACCTCATGGACCTGTACCAATTTAAGTCCCCTGGAATCCAGAGATTGCTACAAGACCTGCTACTGAAAGAGGAACCCCAATCCCATAAGATCATCTACAAAGAGGCCCCAAAGGCGATGGAGCTGGTTCCCGGGGAGCGATTGTTCTACCACCTGTTTTGTGGTCGCTCTCAAATTCCTAGAGGTCCTCTGGAGTTCCAGGAGGTGGTGTCTCTCTCAGGACAGAACAACGTGCATACCATGCTTCCAATGGGCATTGCCCATTATGGCATCTTAGAACTTGCCTGGAAGAGCCTGCCCCAAGCTGATATTCACCTCACCAATGAATTGTCCCACATTATGGCTCCTAATTTGGGAATGACTGGACATCAGGATTTTTCATTCCCACCTGGAGAAAGGTCTTGCCACCAGATCTAGACCTTTATTTTTAGGGCCCATACAGAGGTAGGGCCAGGCAAAAGGCCTTTCCCTACCCAGCTCCAGAAGCCAACTTCTGTATATGGAATAAAGATCAAGTTCTCATATCCAACAAGCTCTGTGATATGTCTCTTTTCTTCAAATGTTGCCTCTCCATGGATGCCAGATATTCCAAAGAGTTCAGAAAACTTACCAGAAGCCCTAGCCAGTGGGTCAGTTGGTTGGGCATTGTCCCATTCACTGAAAGGTCAACAGTTTAATTTTTAGTTATGACACATGCCTAGATTTCATGCTTCATCCCTAGTAGGGGGCATGTAGGAGGAAGCTGATCAATGTTTTCTCTTTCCCTCTCCCTTCCTCTCTCTCTAAAATCAATAATAATTTATATATATACACACACATACAGAATCAGGTGGTGTTCACCCTCTGGAAGCCTTCAGACAGAAGAATCTGTCCTTGTCCTTTTCCTTCTTGTCTCCCATCATCCTCTCCTAAAGACTATATAGGAAGGAAAGCAGTTGGCACAAAAATGAATGTATATTTTACATTAATATGAGGCATTGATATAGAAGAAAAACAGATTTTTGAATCAGAAAACCCAGCATTTCCCCCCCCCCCTTTTGGGGTTACATAGTGGAGGCAGGTTCTACTTCCATGGTGATGACTTGAATCCAAAACAGCAGGTATGTTAGATGTTGAGGAGACCCTCAGAGTAAAGGAAAGAGCTTCAACAAATTCTAGTTAGTACTTCATTATTGGATGGCACTAAGGAAAAGGTCATTTGAGATTAAAGCAGAAAGAAAAGGAGGGCAGCCTATGTCTTTCATTTCCTTTTCCAATACCTGGACATAGGATTTGGGGAAGATGCTAGAATTTAGAAGGTTAAGTGAAAGTTCAAATAGCTCCCTATCCTTGCCTAGGGACTTATACTCCTTTCCTCTAGCAATTAAGGAGACAAGAGTTAAGGCAGTTGGCAAACTCATTAGTCAACAGAGCCAAATATCAACAGTACAACATTGAAATTTCTTTTGAGAGCCAAAATTTTTAAACTTAAACTTCTTCTAATGCCACTTCTTCAAAATAGACTTGCCTAGGCCATGGTATTTTGTGGAAGAGCCACACTCATTGGGCCAAAGAGCAGCATGTGGCTCAAAGAGCCACAGTTTGCTGACCATGGAGTTAAGGGAAAGGGCTAGCAAAGTGGAGGAATTTGTCACTGCCAATAATTATGTTACTTTCCCGATCTTCTCTCCCCACCATGAAGATTTTAGAACTGCCTCTTTCCAGATAAGCTGAATCCTCCAATACCTTCTAGCAAGTAGCCCACCTGTGTCATCTGCTACTTCCACTTCACCTCTTAATTTATTTCTTCCACCTGAGTTTGATTTTGTGTTTAAAGGGAACATTCTGAGAAGTTGGGTTCACCTTGGTGGTCAAGGGTAATGACAGCCCTACGTATATAGTTGGGCTCTTCCATCCCAGACTACATATTATACTACATGAAGTATATGAGAGCTATGAGCATGGGTCAGGGAGCCTTAAAAGGAATGACTGACCTAACAGCTGCACAAGGAAGCAGAAGTAACCATGGTCCAGCTGTCTCTGTATTCTCAACCTGAATTATTTCTCCTTTTTGGCCTGTTTATTTGTCTGTGTCAAAAAGAGAATAGTGCACAAATTACAAACGTCAGGCATGAAACAGAGCATATCACTACAGGCCCTACCAACATTAAAAGGATAAAGATTAAGAGGAACAACTCTATGTCCACAAATTTGACAACATAGATCAGATGGACGAATTCACTGAAAGAACAGGAAAGGGAATAGCAATAACTATCTACTTTATTTTGCAGTGGGTCCTTTGTAAAAAATTAAATTAGTGAACCCTGGCTGGTATGGCTAAGTGGTTAAAGTGCCAGTCTGCCCACCAAAGGGTCATGGGTTCAATTCTTAGCCCAGGGAATGCACCTGGGTTGCAGGTTCAATCCCCAGCCCCAGTCAGGACACATGTGGGAAGGAATCAATTGATGTGTGCCTCTCACATCTCTCTTCTTCCTCCCATTCTCTCTAAAAATGAATGGAAAATATATTCTTAAATAGGGATCATAAAAAAAAAAAAACACCCACAGTGATAAAATAGTCTATTGTGGTTCTAGAGTCAGGAAGTCTAAGAAAGGTTCTTCAGAGAACCTTTCTTAGTACTGGCTGGGACACCCTAAAATCCCCATCTTTGTCAAAATGGCAGTGAGCAGGACTTGTTTGTATTTTTTTTATTATGAAAATTTTCAATCACATAAATTCAAGAGTATTATAATGAATCCCCAGGTCACATCACCTAGATTTAAGTATAAATACCTTGCAAAATTTGCTTCATTTTTTCCTTTGATGAAATATTTTTAAAGATCCCAGATATCATCTTTCAACCCTAAATAATACTCTAAAAAAGTAAAAATTTCTTCCATGATATCATCTAATACTCTATGCACATGTTTTTGGTTTTCACCCCAAATGTCCTTTTACACTTTGAATCAAAATTAAAACAAGGTCTACATCTTGATTGTTATATTTACTAAGACATATTAAACATTTATATTCCCCTCTCCCCAGTTTTTTTTTTTCCCACCATCAATTTGTTGAGGACTGATTCTCCATATTTTGGTTTTTCTGATAGAATTTTGCAATCTGAGGTATGGATATGTTTCAAGGTACAATGAAGCATCTGAAATTAGATGAAAAAGAATTGTGCTAAGTATTCTTAACGCCCCCTGAAGTTATTGAAGAAGTCCTTAACACAACCATGTTAAATCACCACTAAAGGAGAGCACAAAAACATCTATCTGGGCTTTAGGTCAGACATTGCCAGTAGATGAATGATCTTCAACCTGTAACTTCTCACTGGGCTCCAGATTTTTAATTTTTAAAAGGATGGTTATACTTCAGACCTCTACAGGATATGAGAAATGCTTTCTAGCCCCCAGTCCTTCTCTCAGAATGTGAGATCTGGGTAATATATGAGACTTTCCCTATTGTACACAGCTACCAACTGCTTTGAATCAGGAAATAGGTAATAGGGAGTTGACCTTGGGTAAGACCTCAAGGGAGAAAGATCTTACATTTCTTGGGAGAATATTACATGCACCAACTAAGATAAGTGATAAAGACACTAGATTGAGAGAGAGAAACTAAGATGGCAGCCTAGGTCAGTGTGTAAACTGCCATCTTGCACAACAATTTCAAAGCAACAACTAAAAGAACGGACATCATCCAAAAGCACAGGAAAGCTGGCTGAGGGGGAAATCTACAACTAGAAAGAAGGAGAGAGGCTCATGGATCAGAGGATCCCTACAGAGGTAGGGATATGTGTGAGCAGAGAGGAAGGGTGGCCAAGTGCCTGGCTGGCGGGAGGGGAAAGGAAGTCCTCAGCTGCACTGAACTCCAGTTTCGACTGCACTAAACCCCAACCCTGGCTGAAACCCTGTGGACCCAGGCTCATACGGGTGGAATTTGGACTGTAAAGAAAGACACTTGGAGACTGGGAAATTCGGGGGATTCGGGAGCCTCAGTGCGAGAGTGAGTGCACACAGAGAGGTCTGACTGCAAATTGCCGTAGCTGCTCCATAGTGGAAGGATTCGGAAGCTCCAGACTACAAAGACCCAACCTAATTCCAGGTGAGCCCCTTGGTCACCCATGCTCTTACAAGGGGAATCTGGACTATCATGCGGAAAATCACTCGGAAGCCTCGGAAGGCAGAGGACTAAGGCACACGCACAAGGGCAGGGCTGATGGGAAGCCAAGACTCTGCCCCATACAAGCTGAGCACAGAAGCTTTTGCAATTTTGCAAGTCTTATCCTATAAGACTGTCTCCAATACAGAAGGTATCCCTGAATAGACACAGCTGATACTCACATTCAATTGGCCTGGAGGTCAATTCCTCCTAGTGATACCAACAACAATTAAGACTTAACTATAATAAGGCTATACACACAGTCCACAAAGGGGAGCACCAAGAGTGTCTACCTCAGGTAACTGGGGAGGCTGACCAACCAGGCCATATAGGACACCAAACACACAAAGCCATCCTATCAACTCAGGGAAGCAACACAAATGCCAAGACAAGAAAATAGATCTCAAACAAAAGAAATGGAGGAGAACAAAAGACTGGATATAAAGTTCAAAACCATGGTTATAAGGTTTTTCTTTTTCTTTCTTTTTTAAAAAAATATATTTTATTGATTTTTTTTTACAGAGAGGGAGGGAGAGAGATAGAGAGCTAGAAACGTCGATGAGAGAGAAACATTGACCAGCTGCCTCCTGCACACCCCCTACTGGGGATGTGCCTGCAACCAACGTACGTGCCCCTGACTGGAATCAAACCTGGGACCTTTCAGTCCGCAGACCAACACTCTACCATTGAGCCAAACCGGTTTTGGCACTGAGCCAAACTGGTTTCGGCGGTTTTTCAAGAATTTCCTAGAAAAGGCCAATAAATTTAACGAGACCCTCAAGGATATGAAAAAGGACCAACTAGAAATTACACATACACTGACTGAAATAAAAATATTATACAGAGACCCAACATCAGACTAGAGGAACACAAGAATCAAGTCAAATATTTGGAATACAAAGAGCCAAAGGACACTCCTCTGCAGAAGCAAGAAGAGAAGAAAATCCAGAAGATTGAAGACAGTGTAAGGAGCCACTTCAAGTGTACCAACTTCAAGTGTACCAACATCAGAATTATGGGGGTGCCAGAAGAGAGAGTGAAAGATACTGAAAACCTATTTGAAGAAATAATGTCAGAAAACTTCCCCCACATAGTGAAAGAAATAGCCTTATAAGTCCAGGAAGTGCACAGAGCCCCAAACAAAAGGAATCCAAAGAGGACCACACCAAGACACATCAGAATTAAAATGCCAAGGGCAAAAGACAAAGAGAGAATATTAAAAGCAGCAAGAGAAAAGCAGTTAGTTACCTATAAGGGAGCACCCATATGACTAT